GTCCTGGGTGTTCATTGGAGGGACTGATGTTGAAGCTGAATCTCCAATACTCTGGCCATCTGATGAGAAGAACTGACTCATTTGAAAAGACTCTGATGATGGGTAAGACTGAGGGCAGGAGGAGATGAGGATGACAGAGGATGAGATGGTTGGATGGCATCACCGACTCGATGGATGTGGGTTTGGGTGGACTCTGGGAGTTGGTGATGGACAGGGAGGCCTGGCGTGCTGCAGTTCATGGGGTCACAAAGAATTGGACTTGACTGAGCGACTGAACTGAACTACTGAGCATGGCCCCACCCATCAGAACAAGAGCCAGTTTTCCCCTCAGTCAGTCTTTCCCATCAGGAAGCCTCTATAAGCCTCTTATCTTTCTCCATCATAGTGTAGACAGACTGAAAACCAAACACAGAAAACTAACCAATCTCATCACAGGGACCACAGCCTTGTCTAACTCATTGAAACTATGAGCCATGCTGTGTAGGGCCACCTAAGACAGACAGGTAATGGTAGAGAGTTCTGACAAACCTTGGTCCACTGGAGAAGTGAATGGCAAATCACTTCAGTATTCTTACCTTGAGAACCCCATGAACAGTATGAAAACAGTTTGGCAATAGTTAAAAGAAGGGCTTCCCTGATAGCTCAGCTGCAGTGTGGGATACCTGGGTTCGATCCCTGGGTTGGGAAGTTCCCCTGGAGAAGGGGATGGCTACCCATTCCAGTATTCTAAACTGGAGAATTCCGTGGACTCTATAGTCCATGGGATCGCAAAGAGCTGGACACAACTGAATGACTTTCATTTTCAAAAGAATGACAGTTATTTAAGTCTTTATTTTTAATTGGAAGATAGTTCCTTTACAAGGTTGTGTAGGTTTCTGCAGTACAACAGTGTGACTGAGCCATAATTATATATATGTCCCCTCCTTCTGATCCGCCCTCTCACCCCAATTCCATCCCACCCCTCTAGGTTGTCATAGAGCACTGAACTGAGCTTCGTATGTTATTTTAAGTGAAGAACTGAGATCAACATATATAGTATCTGGATAAGTTCCATACATTGTCAATAAAAGGTGAGGAATGATGACATTTATCATTCATACTCACTACTCATTATGCTAAATTCACTAGGCATTATGCTGTATTCAATAAGCATTGTGCTGAATATCTTATATTTGTTTTGAATCTTTAAAGCAGTATATATCTTTCTGGCTTAGTTCGCTCTGTATAATAGACCATTACAGTATACTAACACATATATATGGAATTTAGAAAGATGGTAACGATAACCCTATATGCAAAAAAAGAAAAAGAGACTCAGATGTATAGAACAGACTTGTGGACTCTGTGGGAGAAGGCGAGGGTGGGATGTTTCAAGAGAACAGCATCGAAACATGTATATCTAGGGTGAAACAGATCACCAGCCCAGGTTGGATGCATGAGACAAGTGCTCAGGCCTGGTGCACTGGGAAGACCCAGAGGGATGGGGTGGAGAGGGAGGTGGGAGGGGGGACTGGGATGGGGAATACATGTAAATCCATGGCTAATTCATTTCAATGTATGACAAAAACCACTGCAATGATGTAAAGTAATTAGCTTCCAACTAATAAAAATAAATGGAAAAAAAAATAAAGCAGTATATAATATAGTGTGTATTCTTACTACTTCTTTAAGCAATAAACCAAAGAAGCATAGAGACATTAAGAAGAAAAAGAGAAAGCTTGTGTGTAAGATTAAACAGAAGTTAAGCTATATTAGGACACCTGAGAAAGGGTGAGAAATAAAGCTTGCAAGCCTTTGCTGAAGCCGCTTCATCTTCCTGGAATGATTCGTCTTTGTCATTATCTCTGCAAAGTCCTATTCCTCTGTCAAAACCCTAGCTTTCCTCTGAATGCTTCCTCCCAATAATTAACTACCGTGTTCAAATATAATTTGTCCCTGCATTGTGCTCCGAATTTTGCACTTTCTGCGATGCAGACACCCTGAGGGCATGAACTATAAAATTTAATTTTGTTACTGGGACAGAGGACATTAGTGACAAATGTTTGTTGAGTGAATGAAGGCTTTTGGATAAATTAAGGGTATGTAATGGTCCTTTAAAAAATTTGTCTGTTTTGCCTGGTAATGAAAAGTGGGAGAAACATTCCAAACAAAGGGATCATGGTTACACTTGAGGAAAACCACATTTGTTTACATGGCAAGCAATGTGTCACCTGATAAAACACATTTGTGGAAATTCAAATTTGACCTATAGAATGGAACTTATTTACAGGTAACCATGGATAAAGATACTGTATTAACACAGAAACAGATACGATAGAAAGGAGGTGAATACAAATGTTGACACTGGTTCTCTTCACTTCCAGACATCCCAATTTAGCTCTCTTTTGTGAGAAATAACCACCATCACTGGTCTAATGTCAATCAACTAAAAATATTTGCTGAACATCTATTGTCTTTGTTTGAATTGCACCCAAAGTAGATATTGAAACAAAGATATGAGTGCAAGTAGTTCACCTGGGGATGCAATTCTCGGAAGTACACACGAGTAAGTGGGAAAGGAAGACAGGAAAGAAGGAAAAAACCAAAGTCTGGGTTAATAATGCAGTTGCCACTGTGGGTAACTGAGGAATGAATCTGGGGCATACCTGAGGCTGGGAGCTATTAGCTGCCATGGTTATATGCCTAGAAAATCCCACAGAATCAGCTGAGTATTATTGTTAACAGTGAAGCTGGCTGTCTTAGCAAACTGATAGATTTCTCATGCACTTTTATATTTCTTCATAAAATGTAATGGCAAAAATGTGAATTCACAGATCTGAGCAATAAATATAAAAGGATATGTAAACAAAACTGTCAAATAATATACTTATCTGGTACTGGAGGAATGTATTAACATTGCCTGAAGATGAAAAATAATATTTGAATAAACATCAGAAAAAAATGTACACGTAAAGGTGAGTTTGTGAATAAAGACATAAATGTCATACAGAAGGATTCAATAAGAATTTATCTCCATTGGTAAAAATTGGTTTTGAATGGGATTGGCAAAGACAAATGATGGGAAACTCACTTTTGATCACATTCTTTAGTGTTATTCAAAATTTTTTTAAAAAAGCATGTGTTTGTGTATAAGTGACATAAAATCCTTAGAGAAGAAATAAGTACTTCAGGTAAAATTCACAGTTCTGTCTAAAATTCAGTTCCATAAGTTTTCTACGTTTATGTTTAAGCTTGTACTTACTATATACTATCGCTCAGTCGTGTCCGACTCTTTGTGACCCCATGGACTGTAGCCTACCTGGCTCCTCTGTCCATGGGATTTTCCAGGGAAGAATACTGCAGTGGGTTGCCATTTCCTTCTCCAGGAGATCTTCCTGAACCAGGGATTAAACCCGGGTCTCGTGCATTGCAGGCAGACGCTTTACCGTCTGAGCCAGCAGGGAAGTCTTATTATGTACTAAAAGATGATAACTACACTGAGTCAGTCTTTCCGGATCTCAAATTAACTGTTGTGAATTACAAATTGCTTTTGGGGACTGAATTCCCTAGGAAGCAGACCCAGAGATGAAAATTAGCAAACAGGGTGTTTATTGAGAAGTGATCTTGGAATTAGTACTGCTAGGAAGAAAGGGAAAGGAAGTGAGCAGAAAAGGACAGTTGGAGAAATCAAGCTAGAATAGAGTTTCAGTGGACATCTAAGCATGGCACTGGAAAGGTCCCTTTTTACTCTTGGACATAAAATCACAGTCACCAGCAATACCTAGGAAATGTCACCAAGTTTGTTTCATTGCTTTATATCAGCTGCCTGGCACTGAAGGTAGCCCCACTATAAGGCAGAATAAACTGAATACTCTGAATAGTAATAATAATAATAAACCAAATCTACTGAAGCTCTAGCTACCAGAATAAAGCAGAACTCCACTGTATGTGTCGGGGCTTCCATAGTGGTTCAGAAGATAAAGAATCTGCCAGCAATGCAGGAGACCTGGGTTCGATCCCTGGGGCAGAAAGATCCCCTGGAAAATGGAATGGCAACCCACTCCAGTATTCTTACCTACAGAATCCCTAGACAGAGGAGCCTCCTGGAATACAATCCACAGGGTTGCACAGAGTTGGACTCGGCTGAGTGACTAACATTTCAACTGTGTACTTGGACGAAGGACTCATTGTATGTGACCCGAAGCAGAAAATACATAGACTTTACTAAGCTATCTATGTGATGCTTTTATAAGTGAAAAAACCCTGAAAGGTGGTGTTGTTAAAAAACCATGAATTGTGTTCAATCTTTCCAAATCCTTTCTCATGTTATTATCTTCATAGCTATCACTTCAATTTCACCCCCTTTCCCCATAAAGACTAGAAAATGATTAATTTTCTATTTTTCAGACATAACTAGGCAGTGATAAATGTCATTGGACCTCTCTTGAAGGTTGATTAATTTGTGTTGTTTGGCAGGTGCAGACAAAATACAATTACTTTGGATCAAAATGTAAATCCTTTAAAAAAAGAAAGAAAGTAACAATCAGATTCAAATTTCAGTACCAATAGGAGGACGTTTATTTAGGTTCATGGAAATAACGAGACATAACAAAATCTTTACCAAAGATTACACCAAAAAATCTTCATTGGATTTCCATATCAGAGAGAGAGAAATCGATGGCCCCACAAGTGATAGAGACAAATTCCTTAAGCATAAAAAACAGATGTCCTAAAGAAATAGGAACGAGTGTTGGGAGAATGTAATCTAGGATATTCTGAGTGTTCTCATTTGGAAGGGAGGGAGTTTGGAGAGAAATTAGAACATGGACTCGGTATGTCTGGTGTTTGCTTATGAAATTCAAGGGACCAGTTCTCTTGAACCCTCCACATTTTAAACAGAAGCTCTGCAACTGTGGGGAGGGAGGAAATGAGGAAGCAGTGTGTTCAAAGCAGAGATTCAGCAGCAAGAGGAGGGACAGCACACGGGGCGGGGGCAGGTGGAGATGACACAGGTGGGCCGATAGCAAGTGGTGTGGCAGGAGACCCGGCCACACACTGGGCGCAGGCAGCAGCTCGGGCGGCAGCAGCTGGAGATGCGGGAGCAGGTGGGCTGGCAGCACACAGACTGGCAACAGCGGGGCCTGCAGCAGCTGGAGATGCAGCAGGTAGGCCTGCAGCAGCTGGAACCACAGCTGGACCCACAGCAAGAGGGGCGGCAGCAGCTAGAGATGCAGCAGGTGGGGCGAGGACAGGTGGGCTGGCAGCACACAGGCTGGCAGCACTGGGGCCTGCAGCAGCTGGAGATGCAGCAAGTAGGCCTGCAGCAGCTGGAACCACAGCTGGACCCACAGCAAGAGGGGCGGCAGCAGCTAGAGATGCAGCAGGTGGGGCGAGGGCAGGTGGGCTGGCAGCACACAGGCTGGCAGCACTGGGGCCTGCAGCAGCTGGAGATGCAGCAAGTAGGCCTGCAGCAGCTGGAAACACAGCTGGAGGGGCGGCAGCAGCTAGAGATGCAGCAGGTGGGACGAGGGCAGGTGGGCTGGCAGCGGACGGGGCTGCAGCAGCTGGACACACCACAGCTGGGGCGGCAGCAGGTGGTCCTGCAGCAGGTGGTCTGGCAGCAGCTGGGCTGGCAGCAGGTCTCCTGGCAGAGATTTCGGCCACAGCTCTGGTCAGAGCAGACAGAGCCACAACAGGAGCTGACCATGGTGTCAGAGGGTAGAGGTTCTGGGTGAGTTTCAAGGAAATTGAATTTCTTGAGTCTGAGATTCTCTTCGGTCTGCAGCCCCCTTTATATCCTGCTGAATAGTTGCTACCATTATATCATTATTTCCTTGTTATTGTTTAACCTTGGAAAACTGATCATTTAATTACATAATTGTGTGTTTCTCATGCAGTATTCCAAAATGGAGTAAACAATAACTTTCCTTTTCCTGGTAAGTGCCTGTCTGTTCAATTGGAAGCCCTGTCCCAGTTCTTCCTTTTGGGTGTCACTTTTTCTACTGGTTGGTTCAATGTCTTACAAAGCTTTTATCATATGACTCTAGCATTTTTTTTTAATGTGATATTCTCTCCTATCACTGCTCTCTGAACTTCAGAGAGAAAAAGTTTCGTATACAGCTCATGTGTATTCTGTTGTCAAGGGTGAGGGGAACAAGTGCTGGTCAGGTGAAACACTGGAAAGGAATTAGAAAGAAAGACGTTTGGGGGAAGGATGTCCCACAAATAATATGGATGAATGTGATCCTAAATGGGCATCTTGGATGGTCAGGAAGATAGGTAGACCACAAGGAAGTTTCAAATTCTGTGTCTGATTCCACTCCACTGTCTCAAGCACTTAGCAGTACTCACAGCTTTTAAATAGAAGAAACACAGTTTTGCTGTATGTCTCCCAGGCTAGGCAACCAGAATGGGTTGTTTTGATTTATCCTTTAGTTGTCAAACTTGTACACAGGATATTTCATTACAAAAGCATTTGTTATATATAAACGTGTTTGGAATGATTAACCCTTCAAAAATATGGATCCAAGAATTCGGTTGGATAGTAAGAGAACTTGACTATAACTCCTCATCTTTTCCTGTATATGCTTGTATGAGACACATGCCTAAGAAACAGTTTGGCAATAGTTAAAAGAAGGGCTTCCCTGATAGCTCAGCTGGGAAAGAATCTGCCTACAATGTGGGAGACCTCGGTTCGAGCTCTGGCTTGGGAATATCCCCTGAAGAAGAGAAAGCCCCCCCATTCCATTATTCTGACCTGGAGAATTCCATGGACTGTAAATCCATGAGGTCACAAGGAGCTGGACTTAACTGAGCGACTTTCATTTTCAAAAGAATGACAGTTATTTTTTTAAAGTCTTTATTTTTTAAATGGAGGATAATTCCTTTACAAGGTTGAGTATGTTTCTGCAGTACAACAATGTCATTCAGGCCTAAGTATATATATGTCCCTTCCGTCTGATCTGCCCTCCCACCCCAATGCCATCCCACCCTCCAGGTTGTCGTAGAGCACCGGAATGAGCTTCCTATGTTAATTTTAAATGAAGAACTAAAATCAACATATATAGTATGTGGATAAGTTTCATACATCTTCAATAAAAGGTGAGGAATAATGATATTTATCATTTGTAGAGTATTTACTATGCATTATGCTAAATTTACCAGGCATTGTGCTGAGTTCACTGAGCATTTTGCTGAATCTCTTATATTTGTTTTAAATCTTTACTACAGCATATAATATAGTGTGTATTCTTACTCTTTCTTTAAGCAATAGTCCAACGGAGCATAGAAACATTAAGAAAACAAAAAATAAAATCTTAAGATTAAACAGCATTTAAGCTGTTTTAGGACAGCTGAGGAAGAGGTGGAAAATAAACCTTGCATGCCTTTGCTGAACTGTCTCATCTTCCTGGAATGTTTCATTTTTGTCATTATCTTTGCAAACTACTCTTCCTCCGCCAATATCCCAGGTTTCCCCTGAATGCTTCCTCTCAATGATTAACTCCCTGTACCAATACAATTGGTCCCTGTGTTGTGCTCCGAATTTTGTACTCTCTGCTCTATGTACCACAGATACTTTCTGTCATTCCACTATTGCGATGTAGACACCCTGAAGGCATGAACTATAAAATTTAATTTTGTTACTGGGACAGAGCACATTAGTGACAAACGTTTGTCAAGTGAATGAAGGCTTTTGGATGACTTATGGGTAGGTAATGGACCTTTAAAATTATGAATCGTTTGTCTGGTAGTGAAAAGTGGGAGAAACATTCCAAACAAAGGGGTCATGGTTACACTTGAGGAAAACCACATTTGTTTCTGTGGCAAGCAGCGTGTCACCTGGTAAAACACATTTATGGAAGTTTAAATTTGATCCGTAAAATGGAACCTTTGTATAGGACACCATGGATACGTATACTGTTAATACTGAAACAGATATGCTAGAAAGGAGGTGAACACCAATGTTAAAACTGGTTCTCTTCACTTCCAGACCTCCCAATTTAGCTCTCTTTTGTGAGAATACATCTTCAATAAAAGGTGAGGAATAATGATATTTATCATTTGCTATGCATTATGCTAAATTTACCAGGCATTGTGCTGAGTTCACTGAGCATTTTGCTGAATATCTTATATTTGATTTGAATCCTTACTACAACATATAATACAGTGTGTATTCTTACTCTGGTTTAATATCACCACTGGTTTAATATCAATCAACTAAAAATATTTGCTGAACATCTACTGTCTTTGTTTCAATTGCACCCAAAATAGATATTGAAACATATATGTGGGTGCACTAGTTCACTTGGGGAGCGTGATGGGGATTCTGGGAAGTATACATGAAGAAATGAGAAAGCAAGGCAGGAATGAAAGAAAAACCCATGAGTCTGGGTCAATAATGCAGTTACCACTGTGGGTAACTAAGGAATGAGTCTGGAGACATAACTGAGGCTGGGGGCTATTTAGCTACCATGATTATATGTCTATAAAATCCCAAAGAATCACCTGAATATTATTGTTAACAGTGCAGTTGGCTGGCTTAGAACATTGATAGCTTTCTTATGCAGATAGCAATATTTCTTCATAAAATCTAATGGGAAAAATGTATTCACAGTTCTCAACAATAAATATAAAAAATATGTGAACAAATCTGTCAAGTAATATGCCTACCAGGTATTGGAGGAATATATTAACATTGCCTAAAGGTAAAAAAGTAATATTTGACAGAAAAAAAATGTACAACCAAAGCTGGGTTTCTGCATAGAGACATAGATGTTATACAAATGCATTCAATAAGAATGTATCTCCATTTGTAAAAATTGGTTTTGAATGGGATTGGCAAAGACTAATGATGGGCAACTCACTTTTGATCACATTCTTTTGTGTTATTAAAATTTTTTTAAAAAGCATGTGTTTATGTATAAGTGACATAAAATCCATAGAAAAGAATAATTGTATTTTAGATAAAATTCACAGTTATCTATACAGATTCAGTTCCATAAGTTTTCTCAGATTATGATTAAACTTCTACTTACTATACACTAAAAGATGAAAACTACATTTCAGTCAGTCTTTTCAGCTCTCAAATTAACTATTGTGAATTGCACATTGCTTTTGGGGACTGTTTGAGTTCCCTAGGAAGCAGACACAGAGATGAAAATTAGCAAACAGGATATTTATCGAGAAGTGTATTTGGAATGAGTACTGCTAGGAGGAAAGGGAAGGGAAGTGAGCTGAAGTGGACAGTTGGAGAAATCAGCTGCGATAGAGTTTCAGTGGACATCTAAGCATGGCACTGGAATGGTCCCTTTTTACTCTTGGACATAAAATCACAGTCACCAGCAAAACCTAGGAACTGTTACCAGGTCTGTTTCATTCATTTATATTACTTACCTGGCACTGAAGGTAGCCCCACTATAAGTCAGAATAAACTGAATACTCTGAATAGTAATAATAATAATAAACCAAATCTACTGAAGCTCTGGCTACCAGAATAAAGCAGAACTCCACTGTATGTGTCGGGGCTTCCATGGTGGCTCAGAAGATTAAGAATCTGCCCGCAGCGCAGGAGACCTGGGTTTCATCACTGGGGCAGAAAAATCCTCTGGAGAACAGAATGGCAATCCACTCCAGTGTTCTTGCCTGCAGAATTCCGTGGACAGAGCAGCCTGCTGGGCTACAATCCACGGGGTCACAGAGAGTTGGACACGGCTGAGTGACTAACATTTAAGGACTCATTGCATGTCACCCGAAGTAGAAAATGCATGGACTTTACTAAACTGTCTATGTGATACTTTTTTTTTGTTTGTTTGTTATGTTGGTGATACTTTTATAGGTGAAAAAACCCTGAAAGCTGGTGCTGTTAAAAATCGTGATTTGCGTTCAATCTTTCCAAATCTTTCTTCCTGTTATTGTGTTCATAGATGCTCTATCACTTCAGTTTCACCCCTTTTCCCCATGAACTAGAAAATGATCAATATACCTATTTCCTTGACATTGCTAGGCAGTGGTCAATGTCATTTGACCACTCTTGAAGGTTGATTATTTGTGGTGTTTGGCAGGTGCAGGCAAAATTGAATTACTTTGGATCAATATGTAAATCCTTTAAAAAAAGAAAGAGTAACAATCAGATTCAATTTTCAGTGCCAGTAGGAAGACGTTTATTTAGGTTAATGGAAATAACGAGACATAACAAAAGCTTTACCAAAGAGTACAGCAAAAATTCTTCATTGGATTTCCATATCAGAGAGATAAAAATCAAGTGGTCTCACTAGTGATGGAGACAAATTCCTTAAGCATGAAAAACCAATGTCCTGAAGAAATAAGGAAGAGTGTTGGGAGATTGTAATTTTTGGGTAGATTCTGAGTGATCTCATTTAGAAGAGAGGGAGTTTGGAGAGAAGTTAGATTGAGGGCTCAGTGTTTCTGGTGTTTGCTTATGAAATTCAATGGACCGGTTCTCTTGAACCCTCCACATTTTAAACAGAAGCTCTGCAACTGTGGGGAGGGAGGAAATGAGGAAGCAGTGTGTTCAAAGCAGAGGCTCAGCAGCAAGAGGAGGGACAGCACACGGGGCGGGGGCAGGTGGAGATGACACAGGTGGGCCGATAGCAAGTGGTGTGGCAGGAGACCCGGCCACACACTGGGCGCAGGCAGCAGCTCGGGCGGCAGCAGCTGGAGATGCGGGAGCAGGTGGGCTGGCAGCACACAGACTGGCAACAGCGGGGCCTGCAGCAGCTGGAGATGCAGCAGGTAGGCCTGCAGCAGCTGGAACCACAGCTGGACCCACAGCAGGAGGGGCGGCAGCAGCTAGAGATGCAGCAGGTGGGGCGAGAGCAGGTGGGCTGGCAGCACACAGGCTGGCAGCACTGGGGCCTGCAGCAGCTGGAGATGCAGCAAGTAGGCCTGTAGCAGCTGGAAACACAGCTGGAGGGGCGGCAGCAGCTAGAGATGCAGCAGGTGGGACGAGGGCAGGTGGGCTGGCAGCGGACGGGGCTGCAGCAGCTGGACACACCACAGCTGGGGCGGCAGCAGGTGGTCCTGCAGCAGGTGGTCTGGCAGCAGCTGGGCTGGCAGCAGGTCTCCTGGCAGAGACTTCGGCCACAGCTCTGGTCAGAGCAGACGGATCCACAACAGGAGCTGACCATGGTGTCAGAGGGTGGAGGTCTGGGTGAGTTTCCAGGAAAGTGAGCTTCTTGAATCTGAGAGTCTTCTCGGCCCACAGCCCCCTTTATACCCTGCTGAAGAGCTGCTATCATTACATCATTACTTCCTTGTTATTGTTTACCCTGTTAGGAAAATTGATCATTTAATTAGATAATTGTGTGTTTCTCATTCAGTATTAGAAAATGGAGGAAATAACACCTTTCCTTTTCCTGGTAAGCGCCTGTGTGTCCAATTGAAAGTCCTGTCTCTGTTCTTCCATAGTAGGTGTCACTGTTGCTCTTGGTGGGTTCAATGTCTTACAAAGCATTAGTCATATGACTCTAACTCTTTTTTTTTAGAATGTGATATTGTCTCCTCTCACTTCTCTCTGAACTACAGAGAGAAAAATTTCTTATACGGCTCATGTATATTTTCTTGTCAAGGGTGAGGGTAACAAGTGGTGGTCAGGTGAAACACTGAAAATGAATTAGAAAGAAAGATGTTTGGAGGGGTGATGTCCCACAAACAATATGGGTGATTGACATCCTATGTGGGCATTTTGGATGGTCAGTAAGATAAGCAGACCACAAGGAACTTTCAAATTCTGTGCTTGATTTCACTCCACTGTCTCAAGCACTTGGCAATACTCACAACCTTTAAATAGAAGAAACGTATTTTTGCTGTATGTCTCCCAGGCTAGGCAACAAGAATGGGATAGTTTGATTTATCTTTTATCTGTCAAACTTGTACACAGGATATTTCATTACAAAAGCATTCATTAATTACAAACATGTTTGAAGTTATTAAGCCCTCAATAATATGGATCCAAGACATTCTGTTGGGTAGCAAGGGATCTTGACAGATTACTCCTCATCCTTTTCCTGTAGATACTTGAATGAGACACATGCATGGGAAACAGTTTGGCAAAAGTTAAAAGAAGGGCTTCCCTGATAGCTCAGCTGGAAAAGAATCTGCCTGCAATGTGGAAGGCCTGGGTTCAATCTCGGTTGGGAAGATTCCCTGGAGAAGGAAACGGCTACCCATTCCAGTATTCTGACCTGGAGAATTCCATGGACTGTATAGTCTATGGGGTCACAAAGAGCTGGACTCGACTGAGCGACTTTCATTTTCAAAAGAATGACAGTTATTTTTTTTAAGTCTTTATTTTTAATGGAAAATAATTCCTTTTCAAAGTTGTGTAGCTTTCTGCAGTACAACAATGTGATTGAGTCATAATTATATATATATGTCCCCTCCTTCTGATCCGCCCTCTCACCCCACTTCCATCCCACCCCTCTAGGTTGTCATAGAGCACCAGACTGAGCTTCTTATGTTATTTTTAACCGAAGAACTGAAATCAACATATAAAGTATGTGGACAAGTTCCATACGTCTTCAATAAAAGTGAGGGATAATGATATTTATCATTCCTAGAGTCTTTACTGTGCATTATGCTAAATTCACTAGTCACTGTGCTGAGTTCACTAGGAATTGTGCTGAATATCTTATATTTGTTTTGAATCTTTAATACAGTATATAATATAGTTTGTGTTCTTGCTAGTTCTTTAAGCAATAGGGAAAGAAGCATAGAAGGGTTAAGAGGAAAAAGAAAGAAGACTTGTGTAAGATTAAACATAAGTTAAGCTCTTTTAGGACAGCTGAGGAAGAGGTGAAAAAATGAAGCTTGCATGCCTTTGCTGAAGCTGTTTCATCTTCCTGGAATGTTTCATCTTTGTCGTTATCCCTGCAAACTCCTATTCCTCTGTCAATGGGAAACCCCAGGTTTTCCATGAATGCTTCCTCACAATGATTAACTACGCTGTACCAATACAATCTGTCCCTGCGTTGTGCTCTGAATTTTGCACTCTCTGCCATACCACACTTACTTTCTGTCATTCCACTACTGTGATGCAGACACCATGAAGGCGTGACCTATACAGTTTAATTTTGCTACTGAGACAGAGCACATTAGTGACAAATGTTTGTCGAGTGAATGAAGACTCTTGGATGAGTTATGGGTATGTAATGATCCTTTTAAAAATATGTCAGTTTTGCCTGGTGGAGAAAAGTGGGAGAAACATTCCAAACAAAGGGATCATGTTTATGCTTGAGGAAAACCACATTTGTTTATGTGGCAAGCAACATGTCACCTGATATAACACATTTGTGGAAGTTCAAATTTGATGCATAGGATGGAATTTACTTATAGGATGCCATGGACACATTTACTTTATAAACATAGAAATAGATATGATAGAAAAGAGGTGAACACAAGTGTGAGACTGGTTCTCTTCATTTCTGGACATCCCAAGTTAGCTCTCTTTTGTGAGAAGTAACCACCATCACTGGTTTAATGTTAATCAGCTAAAAATATTGGCTGAACATCCATTCTCTTTGTTTGAATTGCACCCAAAGTAGATATTGAGACAAAGATGTGAGTGCAAATAGTTCACTTTGGAGGGTATTCTTGGAAGTACACATGAGGAAGTGGGAAAACAAGGCAGCAATGAAAGAAAAGTCTGAGTTAATTATGCAGTTACTACCTGAGTATCTGAGGAATGAATATGGGGACATACTTGAGGCTAGGCGATATTAGCCACCATGATTGTATGTCTAGAAAATCCCACAGAATCAACTGAATATTATTGCTAACAGTGAAGTTGGCTGGCTTAGAAAACTGATGGATTTCCTATGCATTTAGCAATATTTCTTCATAAAATGAAATGGGAAACATGTATTCACAGCCCTTAACAAGAAATATAAAAAGTGCATAAACAAATCTGTCAAATAATATACTCACCTGATGTTGGATGAATGTATTAACATTGCCAGAAGGCCAAAAATTATTATTTGAATAAACATCAGAACAAAATAATGTTCAACAAAAGCTGGTTTAGTGAATAAACACATAAATATCATACAAATGCACTCAGTAAGAATGTATCTCTGTGGATGAAACTGGAACCCATTATACAGAGCGAAGTAAGCCAGAAAGATAAAGACCATTACAGTATACTAACACATATATATGGAATTTAGAAAGATGGTAATGATAACCCTATATGCAAAACAGAAAAAGAGACTCAGATGTATAGAACAGACTTGTGGACTCTGGGAGAAGGCGAGGGTGGGATGTTTCAAGAGAACAGCATCGAAACATGTATATTATCTAGGGTGAAACAGATCACCAGCCCAGGTTGGATGCATGAGACAAGTGCTCGGGCCTGGTGCACTGGGAAGACCCAGAGGGATCGGGTGGAGAGGGAGGTGGGAGGGGGGACCGGGATGGGGAATACATGTAAATCCATGGCTAATTCATTTCAATGTATGACAAAAACCACTGCAATGATGTAAAGTAATTAGCCTCCAACTAATAAAAATAAATGGAGAAAAAAAAAGAATGTATCTCTGTAAAAATAGGTTTTGAATGGGACTGGCAGAGACTATTGATAGGAAGCTCACTTTTGACCACATTCTTTTGTGTTATTTAGATTTTTTAAAAAAGCATGTGTTTGTGTATAAGTGACATAAAATCCTTAGAAAAGAATAAAAGTACTTTATATAAAATTCACAGTTCTCTCTACAGATTCATTTCCATAAGTTTTCTACATTTATGTTTAAGCTCCTACTTATTTTACACTAAAAGATGAAAACTACATTATAGGCAGTCTTTCCAGCTCTCAGATTAACTGTTGTGATTTACAAATTGCTTTTGGGGACTGTTTGAGTTCCCTAGGAAGCAGACCCAGAGTTGAAAATTAGCAAACAGGATGTTTATTGAGACGTGCTCTTGGCATTACTACATCTAGAAAGAAAGGGAAAGGAAGTGAGCAGAAGTGGACAGTTGGAGAAATCAAGCTGGGACAGAGTTTCAGTGGACATCTAAACATGGCACTAGAAAGGTCCCTTTTTGTCTTGAACATAAAATCACAGTCTCTAGGAATACCTAGGAACTGTCACAGGTCTGTTTCAATCATTTATATCACCTGCCTGGCACTGAAGGTAGCCCCTCTATAAGACAGAATGAACTGAATATTCTGAAGAATAATAATGTTAAACGAAATGTACTGAAACTCTGGCTACCAGAATAAAGCAGAACTTCACTGTATATGTAGGGGCTTCGATGGTGACTCAGAAGATAAAGAATCTGCCCACAATGCAGGAGACCTAGGTTTGGTCCTTCGGGCAGAAGATCCCCAGAGAATGGAATGCAACCCACTCCAGTGTTCTTGCCTGCAGAATTCCATGGACAGAGCAACCTGGTGGGCTACAATCCATGGGGTCGCAAAGAGTTGGACACAGCTGAGTGACTAACATTTTCACTGTGTATGTGGACGAAGGACTCATGGCATGTGACCTGAAGCAGAAAATACATAGACTTTGCTAAACTATCTATCCACTGCTTTTATAGGTGAAGAAACCCTGAAAGGTGGTGGTGTTAAAAATCATGAATTGTGTTAAATATTTTCAAAACTTTCCTCCTGTTATTATATTCATAGATGCTCTATCACTTCAGTTTCATTCCTTTCCCCAGTAATGAGTAGAAAATGATTAATTTATCTGTTTTCTAGACACAAGTATTCAATGATCAATGTCATGTGACCTCTTTTTAAGGTTGATTAATTAGTGCTGTTTGGCAGGTGCAGGTAAAATACAATTATTTGATTGAAATGTAAATCCTTAAAAAAAGAGCAGAGTAACAATCAGATTCAATTCTCAGTGCAAGTAGGAGGACATTTATTTTGGTTCAAGGAAATAAGAAGACATAAGAAAATCTTTAACAAAGAGTACTCAAAAAGTCTTCACTGGAATTCTATGTCAGAGAGATAAAAATCAGTGACCTCAGAAGTGATGTGCTGAAGAAAAAGGGAGGGGTGTTGGGAGAATGTAATTTCCTGGGAGATTCTGAGTGATCTCATTTAGAAGGGAGGGAGTTTGGACAGAAGTTAGAACGTGGGTTTGGATGTCTGGTGTTTGCTTATGAAATGCAAGAGGCCAGTTCTCTTGAACCCTCCACATGTTAAAAAGTAACTCTCCAATTGTGGGGAGGGAGGAAATGAGGAAGCAGTGTGAGCAGGTGGGCTGGCAGCACACAGGCTGGCAGCACTGGGGCCTGCAGCAGCTGGAGATGCAGCAAGTAGGCCTGCAGCAGCTGGAAACACAGCTGGACCCACAGCAGGAGGGGCGGTAGCAGCTAGAGATGCAGCAGGTGGGGCGAGGGCAGGTGGGCTGGCAGCAGATGGGGCGGCAGCAGGTGGTCCTGCAGCAGGTGGTCTGGCAGCAGCTGGGCTGGCAGCAGGCCTCCAGGCAGAGACTTCGGCCACAGCTCTGGTCAGAGCAGACGGAGCCACAACAGGAGCTGACCATGGTGTCAGAGGGTGGAGGTTATGGGTGTGTTTCCAGGAAAGTGAGTTTCTTGAGTCTGAGAGTCTCCTTGGCCCACAGCCCCCTTTATATCCTGCTGAAAAGCTGCTATCATTATAACATTGTTTCCTTGTTATTGTTTACCCTCCTAGGAAAATTGATCATTTAATTACATAATTGTGTGTTTCTCATTCAATATTTCAAAATGGGGAAAATAACACTATTCCTTTTCCTGGTATGCTCCTGTGTGTCCAACTGAAAGCCCTGTCCCAGTTCTTCCTTAGTGGGTGTCACCTTTGCTCCTGGTGAGTTCAGTGTCTTACAAAACATTAGTTATATGACGCTAACATTTTTTTTTTGAATGTGCTATTCTCTCCTATCATTGCTCTTTGAACATCAGAGAGAAAATGTTTCTTATATGGCTCATGTATATTTTGTTGTCAAAGGTGAGGGGAACATGGCTTGTCAGATGAAACACTGAAAAGGAATTAGACAGAAAGATGTTTGGGGGGGAGGATGTCCCACAAATAATATGGATGAATGTGATCCTATGTGGGCATCTTGGTTGGTCAGGAAGATAGTTAGACTACAGGGAAGTTTCAAATTCTGTGTCTGATTTCACCCCACTGTCTCAAGCACTTAGCAATACTCATAGCTTTTAAATAGAAGAAACACATTTTTGCTGTATGTCTCCCAGGCTAGGCAACCAGATGGATGTTGTGATTTATCTTTTAGTTGTTAAACTTATACACAGCATATTTCATTATAAAAGCATTCGTTACATATAAACATGTTTGGAGTGATTAAGCCCTCAAAAATATGGATCCAAGACATTCTGTTGGGTAGTAAGAGAACTTGACAGATAACTCCTCATCTTTTTCCTGTAGATACTTGACTAAGACACATGCATAAGAAACAGTTTCAATCAGTTCAGTTCAGTCACTCATTCATGTCTGACTCTTTGTGACCCCATGGACTGTAGCATGCCAGGCCTCCCTGTCTATCACCAACTCCTGAAGCTTACTCAAACTCATGTCCAAAAAAAAGGAAAAAGAAAAAATCATGTCCATTGAGTTGGTGATGCCATCCAACCATCTCATCCTCTGTCATCCCCTTCTCCTCCTGCCTTCAATCTTTCCCAGCATCAGGGTCTTTTCAAATGAGTCACTTCTTTACATCAGGTGACCAAAGTATTGGAGTTTCAGCTTTAACATCAGTCCTTTCAAAGAATATTTAGGACTGATTTCCTTTAGGATGGACTGGTTGGATCTCCTTGCTGTCCAAGGGACTCTCAAGAGTCTTCCCCAACACCATAGTTCAAAAGCATCAATTCTTTGGCACTCAGCAGCTCCAGCAAGACCATAGGCCCTGGAGCAGTGGCTGTGTGGTGCTGAGGTGACTATGAGGAGACACCCCACATCCAAGGGCAGAGAAGCCCCAGCAAGATGGTAGCTGATGCTGGAGTGGTGGCTGTGTGGTGTTGGAGCAACTTTAAGGAGATACCTCATGTCCAAGAGCAAAGGAGAAGTCCCAGCAAGATGGTAGAAGGGGCAAAATCGTATTTAGAATCAAAGTCCATACATGCCAGAGATGCTTAGAGGGCTCAAACATACCTTGTGCACACCAGGACCTAAAGACACCACAGAGACTGAGACAGAACTATGCTGGAGTGCCCCCTGAGGAGTTATGCTTCAGCAGCAGGCTGCTGAAGGGACAGGGACTCTGGGTGCAGTAGACCTGGGTATGGCATAAGCCCCCTTGGAGGAAGTTGCCATTAACCCCACCACAGAGCCACCAGAATTTACACAGGACTGGGGAAACAGACTCTTGGAGGGCACAAACAAAACCTTGTGTGCACCAGGACCCAGGAGAAACAAGCAGTGACCCTACAAGAGACTGACCCAGACTTGCCTGTGAGTGTCCAGGAGTCTCCAGCAGAGGCGTGGGTTGGCGGTGGCCTGCTGCAGAGTTGGGGGCGTTGAATGTAACAGTGCGTGCATGGGACCTTTCGAAGGAGGAAGCCATTATATTCATTACCTCCATCATAGTTTGGCCCCTGGTAAATAGCAGAGAGGGAACATAGCTTTGCCCTTCAATAGAAAATTGATAAGTATTTACTTGAAGAAAGTGGAGAAAATCACTAGACCATTCAGATATGACCTAAATCAAATTCCTTATGACTATACAGTGGAAGTGAGAAATAGATTTAAGGGACTAGACTTGATAGACAGAGTGCCTGATGAACTATGGATGGAGGTTCATGACATTGTACAGGAGACAGGAATCAAGATCGTCCCCAAGAAAAAGAAATGCAAAAAAGCAAAATGGCTGTCTGAGGAGGCCTTACGAATAGCTGTGAAAAGAAGGGAAGCGAAAAGCAAAGAAGAGGAAAGATATACCCAATTGAATGCAGAGTTCCAAAGAATAGCAAGGAGAGATAAGAAAGCCTTCCTCAGTGATCAGTGCAAAGATGAATTGCGCCCAAAGTAGATACTGAGACAAAGATGTGAGTGCAAGTAGCTCACTTGGGGGTGGGGAGAAATTCTGGGAGGTACATATGAGGAAGCAGGAAAGAAGGCAGGAACGAAAGAAAAACCCATGAGTTTGGGTTAATAATGTGGTTACCACCTGGGTAACTGGGGAATGAATCTGAGGCGTACCTGAGGCTGGGGGCTATTCTCAGCCATGATTATATGTCTAGAAAATCCCACAGAATCACCTGAATATTACTGTTAACAGTGAAGTTGGCTGACTTAGAAAACTGATAAATTTCTTATGCACTTAGCAAGATTTCTTCATAAAATCTAATGGGAAACATATATTTACAGTTCTCAACAATACATATAAAACATATGTAAACAAATCTGTCGAATAATATACCTTACCCGGTATTGAAAGAATGTATTAACATTCCCTGAAGGCCAAAAAATAATATTTGAATAAACATCAGAACAAAAAAATATACAACTAAAGCTGGGTTTTTGAGTAAAGACAAATGTGATACAAATGCATTCAATAAGAATGTATCTCTGTTTGTAAAAATAGGTTTTCAATGGGATTGGGAAAGATTAATAATAGGAAACTCACTTCTGAACACATTCATTTATGTTATTTAAATTTTTAACTAAAGGAGATGTTTGTATATAAGTGACATAAAATCCTTAGCAAAGAATAAATGTACTTTAGATAAAATTCACAGTTCTCTCTATAGATTCATTTCCATAAGTTTTCTATGTTTATGTTTAAGCTCCTACTTATTATACACTGAAGATGAAAACTACATTTCAGTCAGTCTTTCTGACTCTCAGATTAACTGTTGTGAGTTACAAATAGCTTTTCAGGACTGTTTGAGTCCCCTAGCAAGCAGACCCAGATATAAAAATTAGCAAACAGGATGTTTATTGAGAAGTGTTCTTGAGATTAGCACTTCTAGAAGGAAAGGGAAGGGACATGAGCAGAAATGGCGCTGATAAGGTCCCTTTTTTTGCCTTGAACATAAAACCACAGTCTCCAGGAATACCTAGGGACTGTTATCAGGTCTGTTCCGTTGCTTTATATCACCTCCCTGGCACTGAAGGTAGCCCCTCTATAAGGCAGAGTAAACTGAATATTCTAAATAATAATAATAAATCAAATGTACTGAAACTCTGGCTACTTGAATAAAGCAGAACTCCACTGTATATGTAGGGGCTTCCATGATAGCTCAGAAGATAAAAATCTGCCCGTGATGCAGGAGACCTGGGTTTGATCCCTGGGGCAGAAAGGTCCCCTGGAGAATGGAATGGCAATCCACTCCAGTATTACAACAGACTAGTTCCAAATAGGAAGAGGAGTCCGTCAAGGCTGTATATTGTCACCCTGCTTATTTAACTTATATGCAGAGTACATCATGAGAAATGCTGGGCTGGATGAAGCACAACCTAAAATCAAGATTTCTGGGAGAAATATCAATAACCTCAGATATACAGATGACTCCACCCTTATGGCAGAAAGTGAAGAAGAGCTAAAGAGCCTCTTGATGAAAGTAAAAGTGGAGAATGAAAGAGTTGGCTTAAAACTCAACATTCAGAAAACTAAGGTCATAGCATCCAGTCCTTTCACTTCATGGCAAATAGATGGGGAAACAGTGGAAACAGTGGCTGACTTTATTATGGGGGGCTCCAAAAATCACTGCAGATGGTGATTTCAGCCATGAAATTAAAAGACGCTTACTCCTTGAAAGGATAGTTATGACCAACTTAGACAGCATATTAAAAAGCAGAAAATTACTTTCTCAACAAAGGTGCACCTAGTCAAAGCTATGGTTTTTCCAGTAGTCATGTATGGATGTGAGAGTTGGACTATAAAGAAAGCTGAGCGCCAAAGAATTGATGTTTCTGAACTGTGGTGTTGGAGAAGGCTTTTGAGAGTCCCTTGGACTGCAAGGAGGTCCAAGCAGTCCATCCTAAAGGAAATCATTCCTGAATATTCATAGGAAGGACTGACTTTGAAGTTGAAATTCCAATCCTTTGGCCACCTGATGCAAAGAGCTGACTGACTCATTTGAAAAGACACTGATGCTGAGAAAGATTGAGGGTGGGAGGAGAAGGGGACGACAGAGAATGAGATGGTTGGATGGCATCACCAACTCAATGGACATGAGTTTGAGTAAACTCTGGGAGTTGGTGATGGGTAGGGAGGCGTGGTGTGCTGCAGTCCATGGTGTCACAAAGATTCGGACACGACTGAGCAACTGAACTGAACTGAACTGAACTGAAGTTTGATTAATTTCTGCTCCTTGGCAGGTGCAGGCAAAATACAATTACTTTGGATCAAAATGTAAATACTTAAAACAAAGAAAGAGAGTAACAATCAGATTAAATTTTCAGGGCCAGTAGGAGGACATTTATTTAGGTTCATGGAAATAACAAGACATAAGAAAATCACCAAAACAACATGTCAGAGAGATAAATTCAGTGGACTCACAAGTGATTTAGACAAGTTCTTTAAGCATGAAAAATAGATGTGCTGAAGAAAAAGGGAGGAGTGTTGGGAGAATATAATTTCCTGGGAGATTCTGAGTGATTACATTTAGAAGTGGGGGAGTTTGGAGAGAAGTTAGAACATGGGCTCAGTATGCCTGGTGTTTGCTTATGAAATTCAAGGGACCAGTTCTCTTGAACCCTCCACAAGTTAAAAAGAAGCTCTGCAACTGTGGAGAGGGAGAAAATGAGAAAGCAGTGTGTTCAAAGCAGAGATTCAGCAGCAAGAAGAGGGACAGCACACGAGGCGGGGGCAGGTGGAGATGACACAGGTGGGCCGATAGCAAGTGGTGTGGCAGGAGACCCGGCCACACACTGGGCGCAGGCAGCAGCTCGGGCGGCAGCAGCTGGAGATGCGGGAGCAGGTGGGCTGGCAGCACACAGACTGGCAACAGCGGGGCCTGCAGCAGCTGGAGATGCAGCAGGTAGGCCTGCAGCAGCTGGAACCACAGCTGGACCCACAGCAGGAGGGGCGGTAGCAGCTAGAGATGCAGCAGGTGGGGCGAGGGCAGGTGGGCTGGCAGCAGACGGGGCTGCAGCAGCTGGACACACCACAGCTGGGGCGGCAGCAGGTGGTCCTGCAGCAGGTGGTCTGGCAGCAGCTGGGCTGGCAGCAGGTCTCCTGGCAGAGACTTCGGCCACAGCTCTGGTCAGAGCAGACGGATCCACAACAGGAGCTGACCATGGTGTCAGAGGGTGGAGGTTCTGTTGTTAATAGGCGAGTGAGGTTCTTGAGTATGATCTCTCCTTGCCATCTGTCACTTTTATACCCTGCTGAGGACTACTTTGAGCATGTGCAGGATTATTGTTGTTGTTTTTATCTCAATAGAAAATCAGTTCGTTTTAGCAAATTATATAATTGTGTTTATCTGGTAAATATTCCTATATTTAGAAATGGCACATTTCCTTTTCCTCTTATATTCTGAGCTATCTAATTTGGTTAAAGCCAAGTAAATCAGCACCCATATTTCTTCCCTTATCTGATGTATCCTTCAAGTAGACTCATTATAAGACATTGCTTTGCTGGATTTTACAAGTTTTTATTTATGTATTTAACTCCAGGATAATATGTTGAGAGTGGATTTTATGGGGACTAAATCTCCTCTGTTGTCAAAGAGGTTAAGAGCAATCATATGAAAGGCTGGTAGGAAAATAGGATTAAAGACCCATGTTAGATTAGAGAGAGAACCACTCGTGTACAATGAAGAATACTCTGATTCCTTTGGACTACCGGATGTTCATTAAGGTGTAAAAGATCCCAAAGGAAGTGCCCATTTTCTTTACTGTGCTGTGTGTGCTAAGTCACTTCAGTCATGTCTGACTCTTTGAGACCTTATGGACTTTAGCCTGCCAGGCTCCTCTGTCCATGAGATTATCTAGGCAAGAATACTGGAGTGGGTTGCCCTGCCCTCCTCCAGGGTATCGTCCCAATCCAGGAACTGAACCCATGTTTATTACATCTCCTGCACTGGCAAGCATGTTCTTTACCACTGGTGCCACCAGGTGTTTTCTTTATTGGTTCTGTCTATAAAATGTTTTCTTTATTGGATCTATTCAATTTGAAAGAGTTATACTGCATTGATTCACTACTTCTAAATAGTGAAAACACCTTGGCATGATGGGTCCTTTTTAACATTATTAAATTATTATTGACATGTTCTTCAGAGATGACATAATTTTTTTAATCTATATTTTAGTAGGCCAACATACCCAATGGAATACGTATAACTGAGTATTATTGAAATATATTTTCTTGTATTATGAGGTATTGTCTCTTAGCAAGATATATTTGAGATTTTTCCTTGATATATATGAAAGATTAAGGGATTAAGTCTTAATTTCTGTCCCACAGGCACTTGAATAATACAAATAAGACACACACATGAGGTTTGCAGCTATTTAGAATGTGATTACAAAATACCAATTATATATTTAAATCTATATACTTTTTATAAAATATAACACTAATAGTTACTATTTTTGAGTGCCTACTGCGTGTTAGGAATTTTGAGCCTTCTATAATTGTTATCTTGTTTACACTTCACAAGGACTCTGTGAGGTAAACACAATTTTCTTAATTCTTCTGACATGAAGTAATTATGACTCAGATAGACTGAAGTCACACAGTAAGCAGGGAAGGTGGTTCTCCCATAGAATGTTCAAAGAAGTTATGAATATTATACTCCTAAGTCATTTTCTTGCTGTCTCTTTTGTGTAAATATGCTTTCTCCCTTGTCAACTCAGCAAACTCTTGCTTGTACTTAAATGTCCAGCCAAGACACAAAATCATCTCTAATGTCTTTCTTGGTTTCTACCACATTCAAAATGAGTCCTTCCCTCCTTTTGTTTTAAGATATGCCTGTGATCTAGAGTATCACACTTGATTGTAACTGGTTTGTATGTCTATGTCCAGTCCTTCTGTTTGCCCCTATGAGGTCAGGCACTGTCTTTATTCAGTTTTATAGATGTGATACCCAGCAATTGCCCTGAGTGAATGTTAGTTGAATGACCATGGGATTTATTGAAAACACATGGCATTTACTTATCCTTTAACATGCTACAGATGATCTAGATGGATGGAGAAGAGCAGAGCAGACAATGGGGACATTATTGAATGAGGGCATAGGTTGACTTTTGATAGAGTTAATGGCTTTAATATATAAAGCACTTATAAAATTAGATTCAATTAGATAAAAGGCCAAAAATCTGATGGAAAATAAAATGCAACTATTTCTTCAACATGTAAAGATGCTCAATTTCACACATAATAATAGGAACGAAATTATACAGGATACCACTTCTCACTTGTGAGACTGTCAAAAATTCAAGATCTGACAACATTCTCTGATCATAAGACTATGGAAATAAGTTTGTTCATGGTTTTCTTGTGATGATTTGATAATAAGTAGCAGCATTATTCTTTGACTCAGCTATTCCAAGTCTATAAACTATCCAAGAAGTACTCAGGAAAAAATATGAAAGCATGCAAGATTATTCATAGCAGTGCTCTTTGTAAAAACAAAGCAACGATAAATCTTATGTCCTTCAATATGGTACTGGTGAATAAACTATAGTGCATTCCCATCAAGGAATAATATTAAGGTTGGTGCAAAAGTAATTGCAGTTTTGCATTGTTGAAATTTTCTGTTTGATATTGGAATACATTCTTAAATAAATGTGGTTATGTTAGGCATAATTTTAATGCACATTTATCACTTTGTTTTTGCTAATGACATTACTTGCTGTTTGTTTTATATTTATTTTAGACTATAGAAATGATGTTAGACAAAAAATACATTCAAACAATTTTTTTTTTCTGATGCAATTTGTTTGTGAGACCTTTATTTATTTTTTTTAATTTTTCCATGATTGCCTTTTTTTTTCCATTTATTTTTGTTAGTTGGAGGCTAATTACTTTACATCATTGCAGTGGTTTTTGTCATACATTGAAATGAATTAGCCATCAAACAAATTTTTTATTCAAGTTTAAATGGGGTGTAAAATAGCAGAGACACCTCACAACATCCACAGTGCATTTGGCTCAGGAACTGCTAACAAACGTACAGTGCAGGGGTGATTCAAGAAGTTCTGCAAAGGGGATGAGAGTCTTGAAGATGAGGAACATAGTTGCCGGCCATCAGAAGTGTGAAACAGATCACCAGCCCATGTTGGATGCATGAGACAAGTGCTTGGGCCTGGTGCACTGGGAAGACCCAGAGGGATCGGGTAGAGAGNTAAAAGATGGACAAATTGAACTATGAGGTTTTGTCTCATCTGCCATATTCATCTGATCTCTAGCCAACCAACTATCACTTCAAGCGTCTCAACAACTTTTTGCAGGGAAAATGCTTCCACAACTGCCAGAAGGCAGAAAATGCTTTCCAAGAATTCACTGAACCCTGAAGCATGGATTTTTATGCTACAGGAATAAACAGACTTATTTTTCATTGGCAAAAATGAGTTGATTGTAATGGTTTCTAATAAAGATGCATTTGAGGTTGCTATAATGATTTAAAATTCACAGAAACTGTAATTACTTTTGAACCAACCTAATATTCGGTGGCAAAAAGTGATAAGGAGAATCTGTGTATGCTACTATGAAGTAATGTCTAGGATATATTGCTAAGATATGGTCAAACCAATGGATAAAGTATCTGTAGTGTTCTACAATATTTCTAAAATTGCTAAAAGAAAGCAAATATAGAAAACATTTGCTTCCATTATTTTATAAAATAATGGAAGAATAAAGAAAGAGGAGATGAGAAAACAAGAAAGAAGGACTTACACTTCCAGCTAAGAGGGAGTAATGGAGATTGACTTGGCAATCGAGGCAGAACACTGGTGCCTTAGAGAGGGGAAACAACTAAGGCGATCCTAGGACTGCCCCAGTTTATTTCTTGAAGAGAGTTTCTGGGATGCAGCTCCAAGAGGGAGAATCAGGTAGAGCCTAGTAATTGTGCTGACTTGAGATGGAGCTGGGATGAAGGAGGAAAGAGAGCTAGAATTTGCAGGGCAGGATACTAGAGAGGAGAGAGCTGCATAGGGAACCCCAGAGATCTGCAGAAAGTCCACCTGGAGTGTTGAGCTAATTACTGATCAGTGCATGCATGTGAAGAAACTAGTCAAGGGCAGAGAACCCCACCCCTAGTCATCCCAGCAAAATGCAGAGGGAGCAATCCTTAGAGCTGACACTGGGCCAAAAATAGTCTGTTTTCATGAGTCAGTGAAGAGCCTCATAAATTATGGTTAGAATACTGTGAAAGGTATTGCCTCAAGAGTGCGGCAAATTTAAAAGCTGCTCTGGTACTATTTCACACAGCTTACAAGTAAGTCTTGAGAGGATCAAACTGTTAAATAACTTAATTTCATCCCAGAACAATCAATTAATTGGACTCCATCAAAATGAAATTTCTTTTCTCTTCAAAGGATACTGTTTGGGCAATAAAAGGGTAAGCCACATACTTGGAGAAAATACAGAACATAATCTAACAAATAATTTGTTTATAGAATATATAAAGAACTCGAACTTTTACCATTCAATAATAAGAAAATGAATAGCCCTCTACCTCCAAACGAACAAAAGATTTGAAATTCACCAATGAAAATACACAGAAGGCAAAGAAACCCAGGAAAAGATGTTCAACAACATTAACCATTAGGAAAAGTGAAGTCGCTCAGTTGTATCTGACTCTTTGCGACCCTGTGGACTGTAGCCCACCAGGCTCCTCCATCCATGGGATTCTCCAGGCAAGAATACTGGAGTCGGTTGCCATTTCCTTCTCCATTAGGAAAATAGAAGTTAAAATCACAATAACACTATACACACTCTGCGTACTAAGTCGCTTCAGTTATGTTCAATTGTTTGTAACCCTGTGGACTGTAGCCCACCAGGTTCCTCTGTCCATGGAATTTTCCAGGTGAGAATACTGGAGTGGGTTGCCATGCCCTCCTCCAGGGGATCTTCGCGACCCAGGCATTGAACCCTCTTCTCTTCTGTCTCCTGCATTGACAGGTGGACTCTTTACCACTAGTGCCATCTGGGAAGCCCACACACACCTACAATGGTTAAAATTAACAAGACTGACCTTAGCAAACATTGATGTTAATGTGAAGTTATTG